TGGCTGAACACCTGCCCGCCCATGGGAAGGAGTGAATGAATTCCTTGTTTTGCTTTGCTTGCGTATGTGGCTTTTGCTTTACCTATTAAACTGTCTTTATCTCGACCCACCAGTTTTCTCACTTTTACTCTTTTGATTCTCTCCCCCATCCCACTGCGTGGGGAGTGAGTGAGCGGCTGTGTGGGGCTTAGTTGCCAGCTGGGGTTAAACCACGACACCCTTATTCATGCTGAATGTATGGACAGAGCCCTGCAATAGCTTTACATGACATACAGTTGACTCATGTGGTCAGCTGTGCCGTGTGTGACCAAGAGCACCAGCTCGTCACAGAATTCTTACTTTCTACCACAACCCAGGAAGGGACCTTTCTTTCAAAATATGAGGCAATTTCTTCTTACATTTTTTATTATTTAATTTTCTTTTAGTAAATGTAATGTTACGCTGATTGAGAAAGAGACTGACATCACTGAAGATTGATGGCTGTTAGCCACAGCGCAGCTCCAAGGCCACCAGTGATGCAAGCTCTCCCAGAAACTGATTACTCCTTTTCCCTCTCCTTGTCCCCAACAGGCATGTGACCCAGCCCTGACCTGGAGGGATGAGAGGCAAGTTAGCTCTTTTTAGGTCTTTTATTCTCTAGCTCCTACAGTAAGAATACTAGCAAGGGGGCCAATTAGTGCCTATTGCAGTAGTCATTTCTGCAATGACATCTGTCCATTGGGAACTCATCTGAGACAACCAAACAGTTTTCAAACAAGCTGCCAAACAGCTGTCAGATGATACAGGATTTTGATCATTACTGACCTGAACACACTCAAACTGGAGACCTCGTGACGAAAGATGTATCCCATTCCTAGTCCCCAGAGCCATCCAGTCCCTCAAAACACTGATAGAATTCTATCTGAACACAGCTTTTCAGGAAGCAGCTAAAATAGCACTCACAAGGCTTAGTAAACATCTAAAGAGAACTAAAGCCAAAAGGCATTAGTTAGTCAGTAAGTTACCCTGCCTGGTCTACCCACACCATTACAAGATTTAGCAGCCTGTCAGCATCAGCCAGCTTTCTGACTGTACCCATAAAAAGCCATTTTCTTCAGAGAGGATCCAACTTTTAGAAGTGCAAACCAGGAAGGCAGTAGCGACAACAGAAGTCAGGACTAAAAAATTGCAGAAACACTCCAAGAATAAAAGAACCATCTGAAGAAATACTTTCTTTGGTTTACCTTAAGCAGGAGTGGATATTTGCAAATTCTCTGAATTGGAGTCAGCAGATAACCCTCTAGTGGAATGTCTGTCGTCTTTCTGCCTCCCAAAAGCATGCAACCCTATAATCAAAAAAGGAAACAAATGTTACCTCAGACACAAAGCTTTCAGATGCTCTTTGACATGATTTTGTATTCTTATAACATGTATTATGGTCAGAAAGCACTTTGCCACACCTAAGATACAGGAAATGGGACTTCATTCACCACTGAAATACAGCCATCAAGCCTGCAAAGTTCTTTGTGCATCAGGAAAAGAGAATTTGCTGTGGAGAACAGTGGCTGTGTAGAAAGGTATCTTCCCAGAGAAATATTATACAGTTGGTGACTCAAAAAGTGTCATAACAATACGATGACAATCAGCAAACCTAGATGCACCATTACATAAAAGAATCCAGCCTAACCCCACAATTGATACGACCATTTGTCTTCGTTCAGCATGCAAAATTTGCACTGTTGGTCCAGAAAACTCTTGAAGGCTAAAATAAAGCTTACTAACTAGTAATCATGTACTCTAGTCCAATCCTTATGCCTGAAGGAAATCGAAGTAGAATTGAAATAAATGAGTCATCTGTATTACATCCACCAATTCTCTGGCAAAACACTATGTCTAAGCACAGCTGGACAAACAGCATGGGCGCATTGGCTGGCTAACTAGCACACATGTAGCCCTCAACCAGTCTCACAGCACATGTTGCTGCTTGCCCAGAAAAAAAAAAAAGCTATGTGACATGCAGGCAAGGCTACCTTGTAGGTAGTAGGTGCAAGAGGCAATGAAATTTAAGGAAATCAGGTTTCATTAATTCTGATGCTCATTAAAAAAAAAAATTGGGTTTCGGCATTAATTTTGTGAAGCTCTGTGACTTCCAAACAGAAAGAAGGTGAAGGGCATTTCTCTACCTAGAAAAATTACTACTCTCCCAGTGTTGTTTAAACACAGTAAGGAAGGGGACAAGCATTGGACCAATACACCAAAGAAATCCAAGTCCAAATAGACTTTAGGTTGAGGAACAGAAGCAGCAACTGATCAACCTTTGCAATACTCACACAAATTTGGAGGGGCCCTGCATTCCGAAAGAATCATTTCACAGATAAATTTGCGCACACTACCTCAAAACAAGTGATGCTCAACTTCTCAGTAGATTATGGAAATTCATTTCTCAGGATTGACATGGAAGGGGAGTATAAGAATTGGGCATGGCATCGGGAAAAAAAAAAAAAAAAAATCTATAGTCCTTGACCTGTCCTTATTTTGTCACAATAATCTGTAATCTCTGTGTGATAAACAAATACCAACCTACTGTAAGCTCTTCATACACTTCCCTGAAGATTCTGTTATTGGCTGCTGCCAGAGACAGGTTGTGGACTCAGATGGACTTCAAATCTACTTCAGATAAACTAGTCTACACTCCTATGTTCAACCATAAATCTGGGCAACTTTGCTCCAAAAATCACCCCAGTTGCAAACCTGTCCTGTCAACAGAAGCTGAAGTTTAAATTCAGTTCAGCCAAGACGTGCTTGCTTTGGGGCATCACTGACAACATTTTCCCCTGTGAAATGTGTGCTGTGACTTAGACACACTCTGAAATTTAGTGGGTTTTTGGCTGTAGTTCAACAATCCTCCTCTTCAAGGAATGTTCACGGACATCATATATAAATCTCATTAGTCCTAACTGGTATTTTTACAGACAATCATCTGTAAAATAACCCTTCCCCAGGCTATTCTAGATCTGTAGCGCTGGCTACCAGCTCACAATGCTCCCTGTCCAATTTTCCAAGTCTCGAGTGATTCAGTCCTTCCCGTCTCTTCTTTCAGCCCTCTCTAGCTCTGGGCTCAAAACTGCCCTTTAACACTTACTGATTTTTCAAACACATTCCCACATTCTATATTTCAGCAGCTGCGAGGGGGCAATCGGGCCAAATCTATCCTCACAAGCAAAGCTTTGTATTTTAATGCAGCTTTCTCTGCATGGTGGCATTATACCATTGGCTTTAGGAGGCAGTGGAGAAGAGAAGGGAGGCCTGGAAGAAATTACAGCAGCCACAGCAAAGTAGACACTTCAGTGTAGCCTTCCATATTTACTGCTTTTTTAAGAGTCTCTTGGATTCAGGTGCTGCAGCAAGCCACAGCAGACAGTGTGACATCTTTTATGTACCTCATAATCAGTTTGCCAGCTGCTGCCGGTAATGCAGACAGGAGGCTTTTGCCAATCCAGTGGAAGTGTAGAACGCTCTGAATGTTGGGAAGGATGGTGTTTACATGCACTTTTGTCTCTCCTCTTTCTCATTAGTTTTCCTCAACGGAAGCACCCAGAGGAACTCACGAACAGGGAAAGGGTCATTTGGTGACTCAAACTAATGGTTTAACAAGGTTCATTAAAACTCAGACATGAGAAAGAGATTCTGACTACCCAATAGCATGAGTGCTTGTCCTTGCCGCTCCCTCCGAGGCCTATATTTTGTGGCTAAAAGAATGCTCTGGCCCTGCTTGTGACAGACATTTATGCAGAAGTTTTCTTTTGCTGTACTATATTGGGAAAGAGCAGACCTTTGGCAGAAAGGAGAAAGAAGAGCAGAAAGAAGAGCAGAAAGAAGAGCAGAAAGAAGAGCAGAAAGAAGAGCAGAAAAAAGAGCAGAAAGAAGAGCAGGTCCTTTGCAAAAAGACACCCTTTCTTTTACGTCATAGCATTTACTAAGAAAAAAAGCTAAGGAATTAGTCCCTCACCTACATGCCAACCCCATTCCAAATGCCATGCATCCATGGCCAGGAAAACAAGACACCCAAAAATTAAGCATAATTGGGGTGAAGGCTAGGAGGAGAAACATCCAGAAAAGAAAGAAAAATAAGGAATGTTGGGCAGAAGGCACTGTCTACTGGTTGTTTTTCCTCCCAGCTCAGCCTCTATAGAGGCATTTGAAAGCTGTATGCCACAGTTCCTCCCAACATAGATACTAATACATCATGGGTTGTATGGAGAGTTGGGTCATTTTTGATACAAGCGGCAATGACGCAGTCAAAAGAATTCATCCAGACTACATTTCTTGCCCACAACTGGGCTCATGGGGAAAAGGGCGTCAGAAGCAGGCCACATTTTTCTGGTGGGTCTGCAGATGGTGAATTGGTCAGAGAACTGAGCAGGGAATCAGATCCACTGGGAACTAGTCACAGCCCTGCTGCTGACTTATTGCATTACTCCTTTCACAATCTTTGCTCGAATTTTCTGTTGCTTCTTTTTAAAAACCACAAAAAAACTTCCCTGTTTCCACTGAAATCACTCATACCTGAGCTGTGCTTAGTTCTGTGCCTGAACTCATCAGTGATTTCAATACCTATCCACCCTGAGTGCTGCATACCTGGAATGGGTAATATCTGCAAAATGCCTGGCGTTCCTGGGATACCAAAGGGTTATTATGAGTACAGTGCAAAGCCAGATCATTAAGTCAAGAGTGCTAGAGAAGGTGCTTACCAGGAGGAATGTTCTCACTGTTGGGATCTTGTTCAATTCCATCAGCAGTCTGAGTGCTTTCTCGTGGTTGCTACAATACTCCTCGTACACAAAGAATTTGTCTTTCTGCAAGGAAAAACATAGTAACTTATTGACTCAGACAAAACTGGAATGACTATTTTGTCACAGTCTGATACCAAATTCTTTACAAAGGGGTGTGCACTCAGAGTGGCATTAGGGTTGCAGTTTACATGAAGCGTGTGATACTCTTCTAATGTGAATAATGTATAGAGGTGTTCCACTAGTTCCTAACTTACTCTGTTGCAAGTTAACATCAGCTTTCTGAGCAAAGAGACTTCCCGCACTTTTCCTCTGAACGCATCACTGAAATAATATACTCTTTACTGAAAGAATGGATTTTGCTATCTCAGGGATACTTGCACATGTGTCAGGATATTGCAGCAGAGTAGCCAGGAGCAAGTGGGCTGACATTTCTGAGCTGTGCTGACCACTCCTGCAGGAGGAAGAAACAGAGGTGCCTGGGAAGAACCAAGGCCTGGAAGAAGCTCAGAGATCTGGAGGGGAACTATAACACAAAGCAACCAGCTGGAAAGCCCCTGCCTTTCAGGGCTGAGAGGGAACCCCCACTAAGTTGGCTGGTTCACTTTGTGTTCTGAAACAAGCAGCAGACTTCACTATTTTGATGCAACACTAAACAGTGGGTCAGCTGTCCATAACAGTTTCCCTAAATAGAAAAATTTCATCAAATACATGTGAAATAACCAACATATTACAGAAATTAAAGGAAGGGAAAGGTAGCTTCGCAGCTAGATTGAGGTACTTACACTGGAACATGTCACACCCACCAGCACATGCAGTGGAATGAAATCCCCTGTTAAGAAACAAGGGTCAGCTGGCAGCAACAAGTTCTGCTTTACTGATCGCCAGAATCAAACATAGTGCAACTTCTTCTAACTAAAATGATCAGAGATGCTGAACCCACTGCAAACATCAGATATCTGGAAACACTGAAATGATTCACAAAAGAAGCAGTAACAACTATTTCCATGCCTGAGCAGATCAGGCAAGGAGCGAGTTGATCCTTGCAAGGCTGTTGGGAAGGGTTGAACTTTCAGCAGCTACGTTACAAGATTCCAGTATTGCATTCACTGGAACAAAAAGGGGGGTCAAGGCTTTAGCCGGTATTAGGCTTTAGCCAGGTTAAATGATTCAGAAGCCAAAAAAACCCATCATTTTTTGGGTGCTTCTCACAATAGTACTTTCTTTCCTGGTTCAGGTCGGCTTCTATGCCACAATGCAGTGCCATGCAGAGGCACTCAGACAAGCTACTTTGCATATCAAAAGTAATTTAGATGCATTAGCGTGGCACTCTGCCAGGGGTAATATGCGAGGCCTTCCAAAGCTGGCATCTCAGGGTACCATGCCATGTAGACAATGCCCTCCAGAGTTTGTTGTGGCATTCACATCATTAATTTTCTATTTAGAAACCTGGCCTGAAAACATTCTATCTGAACCTTTTCATCTCCCCAGAACTAGGAAGTTAATTTTTTTTGAGTTTTGATTGGACTCCTAGCACTCTTCAGAGATGTAGAGCTTCTTGTGTTAGCTGAAGATATCTGCAGCATCTAGCTACTTTTAAGACAGTTCATAGCGATCCAAACAAAAAACTACTGCCAACTGAAGGGAGTTAAGTAACATGAATCCATGGGAATATAGCTGCACTAACTGGGCGTTCCCTTCACTATTGTCACATGGAAAAGAAATTGTGTTAATATTAGTTTAGGAGAATTTGACATTCTGGTCAGATGCTCAATGGCTAGATGTACATGCTCAGAGACTGTAAAATGCTTTGGGGGTTTGGTTTATCACTAATCTGATGAAATTTTTTTTCCCTCCTTGTACTTCCAAAGGAAGCATTGAGAATAAATAGATGTACGTCCAAACACAACAACAACGGTACAAAGCAAATAAAACAACAGCCACAAAGAGTATGGTGCAGAGAGCTGGAATGCAGATGTTCAAGACTTTTATCCTTCATCTACAGCTGTTCATATTAGTACTGGAGTTTAATACTGGGAAGCTGAAAAGAAACAAAGGCTTCTGACCACCAGATGGAGGAAAAGGCAGGGCTGGGTCCATAGCACAATAGAAAAGAGGCAATTGAGAGGCATGGGATTGTTTTCAACCATAAAAACTGGAGAGTTACAGAATGAGAAGACAGATATATGAGTTTCTCCGACATTTCCTCCTGTCACTTCTTCTCAACTCCCTGGATGCACACAAGCAGCATGCTTGAAACTAAAAATAGTAACCATTAACACAACAGCATCCGTTACATCAATGCACACAAAATGTCATTGCTCAGGTTTCTGACTGCAGCTTTGAGTGTCTGGAGTTTTGGGAGGTTATATTTAGATCATGACAAAATTTCTTTGCTAAAGCTCAAGTCAGTACAGTAATTATACACACACCAGAGTGCTTTCATCAAGTCTTTTCCAGCTGTCCTTCATGCATGAGACCCACAAATATGAGAACTATGTTTTAAATTACTCAGTGTCTGAAGTGTTTAATTTCCTCTCTGGGTGACATTCAGTACTGGACTCTCCCATCTCCTGGTGAGGAAATTATCAGTTACATAATTACAGATGTTAGCCCAGGAATTCTGAACCTGCAGTTACTCTATATTAAAGTGCAATTATGGTCAGAGGTGTGACCACATAAAAATGCCACCTTCTTGCTCAGCAAATCTGCTGGATACACAGCTAGACCTTCTGATTTTGGTGACAGAAATAAGTCTATACTGTTCTTACTTTGGTTAAAATAAATCCTTAACCAACAGTTTATTCTCCAAATATGTTATTTTGGGTCCATTAGAACTGCCCACAAATTAGTGCAAATATGAAAATAGTTTTGACTAGAAAAAGCAAATATGACATTTGGAAAATTGTAACAATTTTATTTGGACATATTTTTAACAAGGCATGGCATTTTCTTGTTTCAAAGCAGGCTGAAACCAATTTTGTCAAAATGAAAAACCTAAACAAAACAGAAGATACAATTCTCAAGAAAACAAGATCCCTGATGACTTCGACAGTAAAACTGATCACTCATGCAACATTGCTCCTAAAAATGAGAAGAAAACACCTTTCCCTCGAACAAGTTTCTAGCTATTATATCACCAAACCTCTAGCAATATGGCAATATCAGAAATGAAGCATCTGTCAATTCACTGCCCTTCTGCTCTGCACACAGTCATACGCATTCATGACCTGCAAAAAAGAGCCTATGCTGATGAGGTGCGATTATTCCAAGTTCAGTGTATATGCTCTCTTTGATGTTAAAGACTTGTTCTATGTGCCATTTTGTTTAAGGCTGCAGATTTGATTTTGAATGAATGTTTAAGCTTGTTCTTTACTGTCTGCTATGGTCATACCGAACTACAACTCCAGAAGGAATGCTAGCACCTAGCATCAGACAATGAACTTCTCATGATTATCTGATCAAATGGAGTACACTAGGGCAAACAATATCTGTCTTCTGAAGTAAAATAATTTTTCACACCTGAATATCAGAGCAAGTGCATTTCCTCATCTGTTAAAATACTTCGAAAAGTTAATGTGCAATAATTGCTCTTTTGGAACCCTTGCAAAATCTTCTTGCTTGCTTCAGGTGTTACTCAAGATCTGAATCCTTCTGAGCTGGACATCCAGGGGAGAATACCCTAGCTTTATTACAAATGAATCAACTCTGATCCTAGATGCTGATAACAACTAAAAGCGGTGTCCTGTTTCTGAAAATCGGTGGACTGTTGTTGAGTGAGGCTCTTCTAGGCCAAGGTAAACCAGGAAAAGAGTCAGGCCTACATAGATTAGAAGATATTTAGGATACACAGATCTCACGAACAGGACCCAAACACTGCAGTCTGGTGGAACTCCACATGGGGAATCTGGGGATCTCTATCAAGGATATATGATACAAGGAAACTTACAGAAAACATGCACCACTAAGAAATGCAGTGTCTGGAAAAAACAGCGCTTCAAGAATTCTGAAGTTATTCACCAAATTTATGATCGTTTTTAACATTGAGTTTTTGAAGAAAAGCACCTGTGATAATATCTGGCTGCTGACAAGGACTGGGTTCATAATCAGGACTAAGAATGACCTTGCCAGGTGATCATGATAGAAGATACACTGATACATTCAAGATTCACAGGCCTTATATCACTTCCTCACTGCAAACTCCCCTGAGGATACACTGTGATTTGATGATAATGAGAAAGCAGCACTAAGGGTGTTCTTCCTAGCACTTCTTCTAAGCACATTGCAACAACAAGAGAACCTTACCCAAAATGAAAGGCCAAACAAATATGTTACCCATGTTTTCCCTGGGTAAACTGGCTAACAATGTGCACTCTGAAAAAAGCTCCTCAGCCATGTTGCAGGAGTGCATCACTGGAAAAGAACGGCTGGATTTTTCTCCAGGAAACCTCAAGTGTGCTGCAAGGGCTTCTTGTGGTGGCAAAATACTGTACACCATTTAAAAAAAACCCACCTGGTTTCAGCACCATGGAAACACCTTCAGGAGTACTGTTTCTGAGGCACAAGGGTTTTATGAATGCCTCTGCTTCATCAGAACAGCCCCAATTAGGGAAATGGAGCTTTGGAAGCCTGAGCAGAAAGGAACCGAATACTAGCTCTGAACCACAGTTGCCACTGGCATCTCCCTGTCACTTGCTGGAGACTCACTATGGAAGCCTTTACTGTGACAGGGCACAAATCCCACACCTCCCTCACTCCCAAATACCCACAGTGAAGCTTGTCTTCTAAAACCTAGGCACAATCTGCATGCAAGGACAGATTATTTCCTCCTCTCTTGATAATCTTCTGTTGACTGTTCCTTACTCAGACTTAAGGTACCACAATGCTCCTAATGGTATTCCTAAATTTCCTTAAGGTACTTATGGATGAGACCAGCTTTTTCTATGTATTCTGAATCAAATATATGTTTTACTTCCTTCCGCATAAGCTGCTTCTTCCGTAGGGGATCATGAAACGGTTGATGTACACGTTATTTGCAATGCACTCCACAGACAACAATGTAAGCTGATCTCAGTCAAACTGCCTCTATCAGAAGACAAATTCTCACCAGCACTCATCCCTATGCATTACAGTTTCATAATTCCTGTATTGTTGCATGTTTGATAAAGAAGGAACATGACATAATTATTAAATTTAACAGTAATAAAGTTACAAAATTATATGTTCATATACAAGAAAACACTACCAATGACTACATACACCAGGCTTGAATTCAGTCAAATGACAGGATGTTAACATTCCTGGTTATTCAGTGCCACTCTGAAACACAGTGAACAATTTGACAGCATCACTCAAAAGCCCTCTAATTTTGATACCCTTGCTAATGAATAATATATTAGTACAGCACATCTTGTTGGTAGGCAATGATTCTAGTGGTATTCAAGGCTTTAACTAAGTTCACCAGTATGTTTTTCAGCAGCTGACAGTCAGTCCTCACATCTGATACAATTTTTGGGCATGGTCTCAATATAACACTTTCTGACACTATTTTAATAATTGTCACAGCATAAATAAAACTTAAACAAGGAGTGGGGGTAGTTCATAAACCTCTATGAATAATGAATGGCTGTATAATTGCTGTCCGCTCAAACCTGATGAACTGTGAAAGCATGGATTTTGATTATGAAAGCGTAATAGAATATATTTTGATAGGAATTTGGCCTGTGGCTTAATGCAGTTAATAAGAATTTGAAGAAATGGCTATTATATACATGCTTTCTAATTTTCAAACATCTCGGGAGCGCTGCTCCAAGTGAAAAAAAATGCAACTTCAAATTATTATACATGTAAATTAGGTAACTTTGCATTTAAATGAGTCCAGCTTGTAACTAGGTGTATATAATAACTGATCTTGCATATACAGCATGCTCTATATACATATTAGTCAGAAGACGGCACACATACATGATTGAAAATCGGACCAAGTTAAAAAAACAAAACAAAACAAAAATCTACCACAGGAAGAATTTCACAGTACAAGAAACAAATTACAATGAGAGAAGCAATGGTAGGATCATAAGCTGCAATTGCACGATCCTTAGTATGGGTCTGTGCTTTCCTGGATCACCTAGCAGTACCAATCTGACTGGATCAGGTTGGCACACATGATCATATTATGGATGTAGTAGGACATCAAGTAATACAGCTATCAGGCATAAAGTCAGATGACACAAATGTAACTTGTCAAAACGTTCTAAACAACCTGGAACTGGCAGAGTGAATTTCTATCATATGACTACTTCGCATTTTGTATCTCTGGCATTCTTGAGCTAGCATTATGAGTCCAAAAGCCAAATTTTATTTACTTTCGAGCTACAGAATGCAGGTACTCATTTATTCCATGGTAAAAGGCTGCATGTTGTAACTTGTGCTGCATTTCAGCAAGATAAGCCATCTCACACTACCTTTCATTTACTGAAGGATAAATGTATGCACAGACACTAACTACTGTAAATGATGTATTGTTCTTTGTTTTTAATTTTGATCTTTGAGGGTTTCAATTTTTAAAAAATTTAAAATACACACAAAAATTATTCATTTACTTGAAATTGTGCTGCTTTTTTGAAACATTTGGAACCAAAGCAGACAAATTCTGAGCAGTAAAATGTGATCAGCTGGGTGAAAAAAAAAACATTCAAGGGGAAAAGGAAGAGTTTCCAAAAATACCTCGTTGTTTAGCTGAGTTTGATGTGGTTTCCATTGTTCTAACCTCATTCACAAGTTTTTTTCCCACCCTACCTACAACTTTCATACAAGACATACATTGTCATAGTATTGCCACAAGCCTTAGAGATTAGGGCTAGTTAAGGGGCATGGGAGCTTATGACAGGAAACTGCATTTTCAGATAGCATTAAGTCATTGTACTTACAAATTTTAAGAAAACATTTCCCAGTTCATGCTGAGACTGAGGTTCTGGTTGTAAACAAAATTCCAGGGCAGCCAGGAACTCCTTGTGAACACCAAGAATGTCTTCGATGTTAGAAAATAAGATCTGAAATATAAAGAGAAAAACATTGCTAGCTGTTAATAGATCTGAGAGTGTTTTGTTAAAGTAGTAGCACCAAAATATTGTGGCTCTAGACTTGCTGTGATAGGATCTAAAGCACTGACAGGGACTTGTACAGAATGAATTACACTGTATTTGCCCCTTTCCTGGCCCCCTATGGAAATCTTTATTGCTACTGAAGTACCTGCTGTAAATGAAGGTTATCTTTCCAGATATCTGAGCATGATGAATATGAGCAACCTCTTTCAAGTCTAGAGAAGATTTTCTATGGGACCAACCAGGTGAATGGAATCACAAGGACCAAACACACTTTGCAGGAGATAGAAGCAGGAAGTCATTTGCCTTTCCTTCCCATGCATTAGAAATCACTTTCTGGAAGAAACGGACTTGAAGCTATCTCACACAAAGATGTACCTGTAAATAAGAGACCAAATCTCTGCCACGTGGGATCTAGCATTTCACTGACAGGAGTACAGAACAGTGTAAAACACTTGGAAACCACAAGAGCAGCATTTTAGAGTTCCCTTTCACTGATCTCAGTGGTTCTAAAAGGTGTATGTAATAGGATAAAGGCCCCTAGTTTAGACATGTACTAAAAGGTAATTGTGCAATCTCACAGCTAAATGATCCCTAGTGATTTGAATATACATGTGCTAAGGGGAATAAACTGCCAGGGTGAAAGCTGCTATAAACACATAAGCATTTGTATTGGGATTGCGTGGCAAGGTTTTGGTAGCAGGGGGGCTACAGGGGTGGCTTCTGTGAGAAGCTGCTAGAAGCTTCCCCCATGTCTAAGACGGACCCACAGCTGGCCAAGGCCGAGCCCATCAGCGACGGTGGTAGCACCTCTGGGGTAACATATTTAAGAAAGGGGAAAAAAAACCTGTGCAACTGCAGCTGAAGAGAGGAGTGAGATTACGTGAGAGAAACAACTCTGCAGACTCCAAGGTCAGTGAAGAGGAGGGGGAGGAGGTGCTCCAGGCACCGGAGCAGAGATTCCCCAGCAGCCCATGGCGAAGACCATGGTGAGGCAGGCCGGCCCCCTGCAGCCCATGGAGGTCCACAGTGGAGCAGATATCCACCTGCAGCCCACGGAGGACCCCACGCCAGAGCAGATGGATGCCCAAAGGAGGCTGCGACCCCGTGGGAAGCCCGCGCTGGAGCAGCCTCCTGGCAGGACCTGTGGAGCCGTGGAGAGAGAGGAGTCCACACTGGAGCGGGTTTGCTGGCAGGACTTGTGACCCCCCGTGGAAGGGACCCACGCTGGAGCAGTTCGTGAAGAACTGCAGCCCACAGAGGAAGGACTCAGGTTGGAGAAGTTCCTGGAGGACTGTCTCCCGTGGGAGGGACCCCACGCTGGAGCAGGGGAAGAGTGTGAGGGGTCCTTCCCCTGGGGAGGAAGGAGCAGCAGCGACAATGTGTGATGAACTGACCACAACCCCCATTCCCCGTCCCCCTGTGCCACTGGTGGGGGAGGAGATAGAGAAAGTTGGGAGTGAAGTTGAGCCCGGGAAGAAGGGAGGGGCGGGGGCAAGGTGTTTTAAGATTTGGTTTTATTTCTCATTACCATACTCTGATTTGATTGGTAATAAATTAAACTAATTTCCCCAAGTTGAGCCTGTTTTGCCCGTGACTGTAACTGCTGAGTGATCTCCCCATCCTTATCTTGATCCACGAGCCTTTCATTACATTTTCTCTCCCTTGTCCAGCTGAGGAGGGGAGTGATAGAGCAGCTTTGGTGGGCACCTGGCGTCCAGCCAGGGTCAACCCACCACAGCTTTTTAAGTCTTAATCTTTTTCATACAAAATGTGAGAAGTAAGTGTGAGTACACATTGTAACTGCTGAGTGATCTCCCCATCCTTATCTTGATCCACGAGCCTTTCATTACATTTTCTCTCCCTTGTCCAGCTGAGGAGGGGAGTGATAGAGCAGCTTTGGTGGGCACCTGGCGTCCAGCCAGGGTCAACCCACCACAGCTTTTTAAGTCTTAATCTTTTTCATACAAAATGTGAGAAGTAAGTGTGAGTACACATATACGAGATGGAATGCTACCTACACAGGGGGAGGGAGAAGTCCTGATGCCTGGTGACACAGCCATTAGTATTGACAGCCCCTGGAGGAAAGCCTGAATGGGCAGAGTAAATAGTGGAGTCTGCAGTGACATACATATTGCAGACAACGTTTTCTGTCACTTTGCTTTAACTATGCCACTTGCAAAGAGACGATCTGTAGTGTAGTCAAACCAGCTTTCATGTTGGAAGCAGCCTCCCAGGTCTTGCACAGTGAGTGGGTGATGCTCCTCTGAACCCCAAAGCATGCTGCCTGACAGAGCCAGCCTTCATCTTCCTGGCAGTCGGTATGTGAAGTGACCGAGACTAACATCTTACAATACTTCCCAAAGCACCTTACCGTAACACTAAGCTTTTAAACTTCATGCAGTGGAATTTATTCACCAGATGTGACACTGATTCAGCCTGGTGGCTGGTGATGTGGCAGTAATTCAGAAAAACAATAACCTGTAAATTAAGTCTAATCATTAGAGACAGGAATGAAACCTCAATTCATGGTTTAAAACCAGTTTCTTTCTGGTTTTGCAGGGGCAGACAAGATCAGGAATTCAAGGAGCCTTCCTCTCTGCATGTACCCAGGTTCAACTCTATACCTTCTGTTATTCAAGGATGGGCAGAGCATTTCTCTCAAACTCCTCTTGCAAGCTGGCTGTATGTGCAGAGCAGAGCCTGTTGCATCTTCCTTGTCTTTGCTCCCCTCTCACTTCAGGAATACTGAGATATGGTAGTATGCACCATCATTAATGCATACTTGTGCCTCATAGCTCCTTTCTGGCTCTGAATAAATAAAAAGATTCCAACACACTGAATTTGCACTGATGGGCTCTGAACCAAAATAAAGGACAGGGAGCTAGGACCATTTGATTGCTTCCAGAAAACTTCCTGCGCTAATTCAAGCGGAGCGTACGACGGTTCTGTCACATGGCTGAAACTGATGTGATGACACAGTAGCCTCTGTCTGCATGGCTTTGCCAGAAGCTGTGCCAAAAGGGGATTAACAAGGAAGAGGAAAACATCTGTCAGGGATGATTTTGTCCTTCAGGAGCAGTCTTCAGAGGGTATTTTTTGATCCAAGGAATATCTGTGTAATCTAATGAATTCCATGGTGGTCAGTAGAGCTCTGCTTGCAGTAGTATTCGCAGATGAGTCACTTGAAAATCAAGGCAGCAGAGAGACCTTGACTGCATGTGCTTCTATATCCAATACGCAGTTACCATTTATAAGCCTTATACGAGGATCTATGTCTGGCAGCTCGTGTACACCCTCAAATTGTACTGCCTTCAATCTACTGTATCAGTAAAACAACATTAGTGCCCTGCTGTGAATGTAGCATAATACTAACATATCAATAGAGTTATTCCCACATGAGGCAGCGAATAAACTAAAAATGTTTTTTTATGATGTTGCTGCCGCTGTTAGTCACTGGAGTACTTGTAAAATCTGGGCCTGGCACAGGACTCAATGTGGCCTTTCTGGAAGGGGATACAGTGGCCAAAGATTACTGAAATCTCCAGTGCTTAGCACCAGCAGTAGGAGAAACCTGCAAAAATAATACTGGGAGCAATAACCCGAATTATCCTAAAAAGCACTTTCTCTCCTTTTGCTCAGAGGTGAGTGACTGCCAGAATACCCTGTATTTTCCTCTAGACGTTTCTGCTGCATGAAGAAAGAGAGGAAAAGACAGGCTTTTCCTTACATAAGCTGCCAAACCATTTATACAGTCTCTGCTACCATCCTTGTTGCTGCCAGCCACCTCACAGCTCTCTGGTGACTCAAGATACATAATATTAGCAGGCAGAGTTATCAGAAGTCCTACC